AGCACTAAAATACTGCTCTATAGTGCAGAGTATACTGTTTATTTTATTACCTTACCTTAAAAGAAATAATATACCCCTTCCCCTACTGGGAACTTACAACTTGCAGTTCAGAAGTCACCTGGGCTCCACAATAGTTATGAATATGTCCCAACACAAAACTGTAAATTTTGTTAAAAATTTGTGATTTTCATTTAAAAACTCCACTGCATGGATCTTGAGCATGAACTTTGCAAATTCAGAAACAAAAATTCAAAAACATTGTGTCATAATGTCAAAAGGAGGGATTCAACTTCACATAGCCCCTCCGTTATCAAGACTACAGTATATAATGTACAACTATTTAAATGAAGAAAATGGAATTTAGACCCAAGATTTGAGTTAGAGATCAGATTCTTGTATATCAAAGGTTCAAGAATACTATTAATTATATTTCTTGTATGTAGATGAAGAGGTTTTGTGGGTTATCTGGGAATAGTCATAAAAGCACACAGATCTGAAAAGAAAATATACTTAACTTTCCAATAAACAACTTATTGCATAAGTACCTACTTAAGATGCAAAGGATGAGTGTAATAAAAAAAATATCATTGCAGGACAATCTTAACAAATCTAAGGTGGATTGTAGCTGAATGGTACCGGCTTGCTTAGTCAGCAAAAGTAACTCCCCAATTATATGAATTTCAGTGTGAGTGTGGTGACACACACCTTTAATCCCAGCACTTGGGAGACAGAAGCAGATGGATCTCCAGGAGTCTGAGGCCAGAACTGTCGACATAGAAAAGTTCTAGGCCAGTCTGGGTTATGTAGTGAGACCCTGTCTCAAAGAAGCAACACAACAACAAAATGCAATAGTAAAATCAATATCCTTTAGGACCCCAGGTTTAATCTGCAGCACCTTAAATAACCATGAACAACAGAAAACAAAAATAAAGTTTTACAACTTTCCAGAAAAGCAGCAGTTATATTTTAAAAATAACAACTCTATAATTAGTCTTTGAAATTAGAAGTCTTTATTATCTCAGTTCTTTTTGCCTAGTAAGAAGCCCAAGTTTTTGGAATTTAATAAAGTTCCAGAGAAACTATAGCAAATTAACGTAAAATTTCACTACATTCAAACTCAATTTCTAAAATTAAGCTAGAAACAAAAAGGGTGGGGTTATATATTTACTTCCCACTTACGTCAAATTAAATTTAAAATTAAACTGCCAAGTTGAAGTTCCTGGAGGGTATTCTCCTTGCTCATTCATAAATGTCAGTCCTAGCTGAATTATCTTTAACAAGTCTACATTACATCGCAATAGTTGGTATTGATAGTCAGCATTGCTCCTGAATTCTCCAATGGGCCTTGCAACAACACCTGGAAACTCGGTGTCCTGTAAAATAATTTTAAGATGCATTATTTACTAAATGGTTATAAATAGAATTCATATTCTCAGGATAATTTTTGATGTAAGTCAGAGAATTCTATTACAAAGATATTTAATAAAATAATGATATAAAACAATAGTTGAGTATGTTCACACTCAATTATTAGGTATTCTTCAAGAATGAAGAGTATTACTTTTTAGATCCCCAAATTCTATAAACTTAACTACTTTCTCTCAGCTTAAATTTGTCAATAAATTACTACCATGGACAGATAACTCACAATAAACTCAAGCTAATATTTGCTTCATTTCCAAGGAGAAGAAAATTCACAGAAAGCATGTTAAGATTCCCACTTTCTTTAGTAGGCTTCTGTACTGCAGTCATTGCTTATCATCTGAGAAATAAATGACAACTAGGAATCTCTACTGCCTATAAAATATTCCCCCCACCCAAATAGAAAGTTTCAGCTATAATTATGGATAAGTACACCTGTATTACATGGAGTGTCTATGCACAGATATTTCTCTTTTAAGCAAGCATCCTGTTCATTCTCAGCGAAGCACTTTCTTTTTAAATTTGTGATACTAAGAAAATTATGTTTTAGTTTAGTATGAGAATTCAAATTAAGGCTTGTTAAAAACAAAAATGAAACAGTAAGTCAATATGAATTTAGTACACCAACAGCCAAATTAGATTCTGTAATGACTGTACTAGACTTGAGGGGGGTTGTGGATAGATGTGTAAGACACTAAAGAACTTCTTTCTACAGCTAATAATCAAGGGGACCTAGAAAATAAAAAGTGAGCTGTAACAAATACACACAGTGCAGTAGTAAAGCAGAAAAATAGCTGTACCGTCTAGGCAGACTGAATACCACCTATAAGATCAGAGCTTCCTTACAACCTAGGATGTTTTTGCAGCTTTAACGATGCGTTCTTAAGAGATCTGAATGGGTTTTTGTTTGTTTGAAAAAGATACCTAGGAACTCACTGGCTTCTGAAACCTTATCTGATACTAGTAGCAGGGCCTTGGACTGGTTAGAACTAGCTGACAGTCTTAGTGAGGATCTAGACTTCTCCTGTTGAATGCAATCAGTTTCACAAAATGTAAACATCAGTTAAGTACAAAGACCAAAAAAAAAAAAAAAAGGATGCAATTTCTCAATCTAGCTAATGCCCTCTGCAGTCTTGTATCACCCTTGTCTTCTCAGCAGCTGAGAACCCTTGGAAGACCAGCTTCCTGAGAATATCTAATCCATGGTATAGCCTGTTTCCGGCAAGCCCTTAAAACCACCTGACACAAGCCTAAATCCTAAAGTACTTCTACCACTTTTATTACAATGCTCATGACTCCTAATCCCTTGTTGATTAATGCTAGCAGTAACAAACTCAACCTGTCAAATACAGGTTTATTTCTGATGGCTTTTGCTGAAGAAACTAGGCATTTTTTAATGATTAAATTAATCCCTTGATATCAATGAAAAGCGTTTAAATCAAGATTTTTAAAATTCCACTTCAGGGCCTGGAGAGACAGCTCACTTGGTAAAGTGCTCTGCATGCAAGCAAGATGACTGGATATCAATCCCTAGAATCTATGTTCTTAAAAGTGCATAGTCCATGTGCTTGTAATTTAAGTGCTTGGAAAGAGGAGGCAGGTGAATCCCCGGGGCTTCCTGGCCAGGCAACCTTGCTTAATCAGCAAGACCCAGGGCAGTGAAAGAGCAAGTCACACTCATACACACTCACAGGCTGACACAAAATTCCCACTCTGACCTCACCGAAGGCATTTTAAAGGTTTAGTCGTGTCCATACCATGGCAACATAATTATATTTTCGGATAACTTGACGAATTTTCTTCATCTCTTCATCCAGGTTACAAGCCCAAACTTCACAAATTCTTTGGCTATGATCTACAGTTGCTGCCGGCATAGTGACAGCACAAGGAGCCTAGATGCCAAGCATCAAACGTTACACTTGATTGAAGATGTGTTTCATAAAAATATTCTACCCTTTATTTGTGCACCTGTTGAAATAAAAACCACCTTTATCATAAATGTGAATCGCAAGACAGGGCTGGTATAAACTTAAGGCTGCTTATTTCAAGTTCAAGATTCGTAACAAAATCAAGTTTGAGAGAGTTACTTTCCTGAAGGTACATAGCCAGCTAACAAAGAACCACAACATCCATTTTCTAGTTGAATACAAGTTTCATTAATTAAAATCTGCTCCCAGTTCAATTAACTCCACACAAAACTATGATCCGTTTTATGATTTACAAAACAAACTGAAATTACAAGAGAAAAAAAACCTCTGTAACAAAAGCAGTACTTGCTTTTAGTCTTAAAACATTTAATCAAGTCTTACTTGATTAAAAAAACTCTGCATTATTGGTGTTGGTATTCATTCAAATCAAATCAGAGGAAACAAAAAAACTAAAAGTTCTGAGAACGCATCACATCAGGCAATCTCAGAAATCAGTGTTCATCGGGCGGGAGGGAGAAAGAAGACAGTCAAGTACGGGCATCTAAAATTTTCGAATTTGAAAAAAAAAAAATCCGACCATTTTCCCCTGGTTACCAAAGAGGGACCTCAGGTTTCTGGTCCATAGACACAAGATTCACGTTACACAATGATGAAGTAATAGAGACACACTGAAGATTTGACTCTTAGGCGAGAAAATACCAATGTTAGAAGGAAGAAAGAAACAAAAGACCACAAACAAACAAACAAACAAAAACCGAATAAAGGAGGATGATGGCCTTGCGTCCTCAACTCGTGCATCGGAAGCCGGAGTAATCTCAGAAACCCAAGGTGCTACTGGGCACGCCTTCTTTCTTCCCCTGCTCCCACCGGCGCACGCACACACCACGGAAACACTGCAATTTAACCCTGCTTTCCTCCTCCCCTCTCCCGACTGCAGGTCTCGGGGGCCCTGCAGTGGCACCCCAGGCCTTCTCATTTACTGAGGTCGCATGTCCTCCGTGGGCTCCCGGCGCGACGTGAAGAAAGCAAAGCCGCGTTCATGTCACTGATAACCCTCTTCGCTGGCCGACAGCCAGGGGGAAGGTGCCGAGAGCATTGACTAGAGCCAGATTGCCTCGCCACCGCTGCGAGGGCGAGCTAGCTCCCCGGTCCCAAGTAGGCCACCGCCCTCCACTCTCAATTTCCTCCCCCACAACGGAGTCCCAGGTACAAAGCGGTGGCGTCATCACCGCGCGCCGCACCCCTGACAGGCCCCCCGGCCCGTTACCCCCTTCCCAGGCGGCCAGCTCCAGGGCCGTCACAGCCGCGCTTCAGCGGGCGCCATCGCGCGCCCTCTCAGCTTCCTACACCCCCCAGGCTCGCCCGGGACCCCCGCCGGATCTACTTGTGTCTCTGAGCTCGCGCTCCTCCTCTTCCTCCTCGCCATAGAGATAGCACCCGGCGGCGGCGGCAGCGGCGGTGGCGGGACCGACGGCGGCAGCGGGCGCCCCATAGACACCTATCGCCCTGGAAAGGGGAAAGGGGAGCTGCAGCTGCGCTGCCCAGCGCGCCGCCGTCGCACCTCGCACGTCCCGGCGAGGGCGCGGCATGATGACGCAGGCGCCGAGGGGGCGGGGCGCTCGGGAGGGCGGGGCGGGCAGGTGACGGACGGACGCCGGGCCGCAGAGCTCCGGGCGGGCGGCGGGTTTCGCTCACACCGGCTGGTTTGGTGTTGGACGCGAGCGGACCGGGGACCGGTGGTCTAGGCGAGTCGTCCTTTCCCAGCCGCTCGCCGTGGAAGGTCGTCCTGCTGGGGGGCCAGGGTCTCGGCGAGTTCGGCGTCGGGGAGAAGGCGCGGCTCCCCTCAGCGTGCCGGCCGTGCTCGGTCGCTCCGGAAAGGCTAGGCTGAGCGGGGAGGAGCAGGCCCGAAGCTTCTAGGGCTTCGGGCCGGGACCCGAGGAGGATGAGCTGGCTCTTTCCCCTAGCTAAGAGCGCGTCATCCTCCGCGGCCGGGTCCCCCGCCGGCCTCACGAGTCTCCAGCAGCAGAAGCAGCGGCTGATCGAGTCGCTCCGGAACTCCCACTCCAGGTGACTTGGTGGCTTTGACCAGGGCGGGAGGGCGGGCTGCCAGCAGACACCCGTGCCGATCCGCAGGCCGCTCCGACAGCTGCCTACTGTTGATAGTCCTTCCCGTGGGCTTGTTTCCCGAATGTGCCTCTCTTGCCCCCCCCTCCCCGCGCGCAGCTTGTCTCCTGACTTGCTCATCTCCACGGACACAATGAAATCATCTCTCCTAGCTCTCACGCTAATATTTCCTTGAATTCACCTAATTGAATTGTTAACATGCTAACACCTGACTAGAGACAGTTGGGAAGGCTGATCCCCAAGTTTCAAAGTGAAAAATTAAACTGTTGCAACACAGTGTTTTGATCAGTTAACTCTGTCCGGATGATAATCCTTTTGAGTTTGTAATTAAAGTTCAGCCTGTTCCAATAACTTTTGTCCTGCAACTGTTACAGAGTCTGCTCCCCTCTCACTTTCTTGACTTGGGCCTCACATTTAGGAGCTGACATACATTATCTGGATCATCCGTTGTCTTTTGAGTTTGCTTATCTTATTGTCGTCAAACTAGAAATACAGGAATTCAGGTTATCTTGACCTTTTTTTTTTTTCTTGTAAAATCGTTTGCTACAGCCTTTTCTGTTTACATAGGTCAGTGGCCGCTTAGGATTTTCAGGTATCAGAATTACTTTATAACATAGGAGTTTTACAATTAATTAACAGGGCCACAGCCTATTTTACGTATAAAGGCCAACGTGGTTAGACTCTAACCTTTTAAAAAACCTTGTCACATAATGCACATTATAATATGAAATAAGATTTTAATGTGTTGTATAATATATAGATACACATCCATGAGATAGTAACAATGAGTTTGAACACACCATCAGGGGCTATTTTTCTGTTACCCATCATTTTTTTTCTCAAGCAAGTAAACTATCATCCTTAAACTTGCTCTGTAGGCCAGGCTGACTTTGAACTCAGAGATCTGCTTGCCTTTGTTTCCCAAGTGATGGCATTAAAGCTCTGTGCCACCATGCTGTGCCTGACTTCCTGTTCTCATGTCTACCTTTGTGTAGCATTTCTTACCCTGTTACAAGGACAGAACCCCTCTCGAAAGAGTATTTTCTAAGGAAGGAGTGGCCTTTCCAGGCAGCAAGTTTCTTTTCTCATCCTGGAGGAAAAGGAATTCTTGTTTCTGTGACTAGAGGAATCTGATGGGACAAGAGATAAGAAAACAGAAGAATTTGCCTCTGGAAGTCTTCAAGTCTTCCTTAGTTCATGGTTCTCAGCGTGCCCAAGTGCTATACTTAGGATAATGATTTCTAAACCCCAACACAAGTCAGTCTTTCTCTAAATGCTTTATTTTTTCTAACCTTCGAGAGCCACACTTTCAAGATATTATAAAATAAGCTAAGTTTTAAGAAACACAACAAAGTTTTTCCCCTTCGACTGTCACCTTGGAAACCTGCAGAATGTCAGTATTACTACTGCAAAAATACTGGTGGAGCCATTTGTTAACCTTTCTTTTCTCCTCATGAGATGGAGCTTTTGAGTCACGAGTCTCTTACTGATAAGACTAGTACATGAGGAAAGTGATCTGAAGTTTGTACTTTGGTCCCAAATAGAAGTAATAAAACAGTAATTCTTCATTGAAGGACATCTGGAGTTAGTTTAAGAGGATCAGTCAGTATCCTTAATGGATGCAGAAATTATTTTGTGTGCTAACATTTGAACTAGAAATTTTTAACATGTAACATTATCTGTATCTTTTAAGTTCTTGAGATTTTATTTAGTTGAAATATTTCAAACTTAACAAATTAGATATAATTCTAAATATTCAAGAATCTTTTAAACATTTTATCAAATTCTTAGCTATCCCAAAAGGTTAGGTGAATTTTATGACTATTTTCTTTTACCTCGTTCCGGCAGAAACAAGTGGGAAGCTGTCATAGAAGATTAACAGTATTTAACCAAAGCACAATGAATATTATGAAAATGAAAAGTGGAAGTCATGTTGACTGGACTCAAAAACTAATCTTCTAAAAAATAATAATCACACTAATCAGTTTACCACTAAAACTTATGAATTCATATGTAGAAGAACTAATTCTTCAATTCCTTGAAGTTTACTTCAGAAGATACTGTTGATTTCCTGTTCGGATCCCATTTCCTCTGACTTCTTCAAAGAACACCTGTTTTTGTTTTTTTCTTCTGTTTATAATCTGTAGGACACAGACTTAGTGGAGTGCTTTCAACCCAGGAGATGTAAATAATCAGTGATGATGGCCTCACCTCACCCTCACCTCACACCATCATGTCTGTCAGGAAAAGGAGGACTCCTTTTTCCATCTTTTCTTCTTTTTGTGTTGGGGGGGGGGGGGCTTGAACTCACAGGAGCCGTCCTCTGCTTCCACAGTGCTGCGTTAAGGCACATATTACCATGCCAGATACAAGCAGGACTCCTGACTTCAACCTAATGAACAGAAGTTGAAGGAAAAGTCCAGGTTTTCTCAATAATACAAAGAGCTTTTGGGAAGAAAAATGGGGGGAAAGTGCTTCTTCTTTAGATATGATTGTGTTCATCTGGGTTATGATTGAAGGCTGGCAGTGTGGTAAAATAGTTCACTATTAAATTAATGAACTCTGGAGTTAACATCATTTCATCTATGGCATGTAGTGTTAGTGCTTAAGTCTTAAGCTTTAAGATAAATAATCCCTCACTGGTGAAATGATTTTCACCCTGTTTTTCAGTAACTTGTGTTTATGATAATCCTTGCTAACCAGGCTAATCCTTAGTCTCCAGAGGGGAAGCTGTTTTGTAGACTGTTTCTTTGCTGTGCCCACAGTCAGGAAATACAGTTAGATGAATAATGGTGATGGAGTGCTGTTTTGTTTGTATATTCAAACAAAGAGTTTGTATATTCAAACAAAGAGTCTTAAGTTGGTTGTAATGGCATACATCAGAATTGTGTTTCTTTTGTATTGTTGTACAGCTACTAGACTTCCAAGAAAGAATCTCTGAGCCAAGAAGGTAGGAGGTACAGATGGGTCACTAATGGCCCACACAAGCTTGGCTGGCCTGTCGTCTTTATATGCCTTATGTCCACAGAACTGAAAGAATTGACTGCCTGATCTTTTTCTGCTCTACTCAGTCAAGAAAGTCAGTTGATTCCTCAAGCCCCTCAATGCAATGACATTCAATGTGTGTGTGTGTGTGTGTGTGTGTGTGTGTGTGTGTGTATTGAGCTCTTCATTTTTCTCTGTTCCCCTCCCTGCCTCTCCCCTCCCCCTTCCCCCTTCAACCCTCCCCCAAGGTCCCCATGCTCCCAATTTACTCAGGAGATCTTGTCTTTTTCTACTTTCTACTTCCCATGTAGATTAGATCTATGTAAGTCTCTCTTAGTATCCTCATTGTTGTCAAAGTTCTCTGGGATTGTGGTTTGTAGGCTGGCTTTCTTTGCTTTATGTTTAAAAACCACCCATGACATGTGATAATTGTCTTTCTGTGTCTGAGTTACCTCACTCAAAATAAATATTTTCTAGCTCCATCCATTTTCCTGCAAAATTCAAGCTGTCATTATTTTTTTCTGCTGTATAGTATTCCATTGTGTAAATGTACCACATTTTTCTTATCCATTCTTCAGTCGAGGGGCATTTAGGTTGTTTCCAGGTTCTGGCTATGACAAACAAAGCAGCTGTGAACATAGTTGAGCACATGTCCTTGTGGCAACTCCTTAATACAGTTTCTCATGCGTGGCGATCCCCCAACCATAAAATTATTTTCGTTGCTACTTCATAACTGGAATTTTGCTACTGTGATGACTTGTATTTGGGGAAGTAGAGGTTAGCCAAAGGGGTCGTGACTACAGGTTGATGCCTGCTGATCTAAATGCTTCTGTCTGACTTACTGTTTATGCATCTTTCACAATCCTACCTACAATTCACTTGTCTTTGGCAGGCCTCCATCTGACTTTTCATTTAGAAAAGTAGTCTATTCAGGAGAGCTAGCTGAGTCATAAGTGAACTGTCCTATTTAGAAGGGCTTAGTAAAGTGCAAGGAAGCTACAGAGTCAGCAGCATTGTTTAACACACAATAAATACTCTGTAAATGCTTGTTGGTATTGTATCCTTAGTTTTAAAAATAATAGTGTCAAAAAAATGGTCATAAAAGTAATTATCCAATAAAAAATGGGATACAGACCTAAACAGAGAACTCTCAACAGAAGAATCCAAAATGGCCAAAAAACACCTAGGAAATGCTCAACATTCTTAGCTATCAGAGAAATGCAAATCAAAACAACTCTTGAGATTCCATCTTACACCTGTCAGAATGGCCAAGACTGGAAATACTGATGCCAACTTATGCTGGAGAGGATGTAGGGTAAATGGGACATTCCTCTATTGTTGATGGGAGTGCAAACTGGTATAGCCACTTTGGAAATCAGTATGGCGATTTCTCAGAAAACATCATATTCAGTGAGGTAACCCAGACCCAGAAAGACAAATATAATAAGTACTCACTTGTAAGTGGCTTTTAGACATAAAGCAAAGAAAAACCAGCTTAGAAATCCCAGAGAACCTAGACAACAAAGAGGACCCTAAGAGAGACATACATGGATCTAATCTACATGGGAAGTAGAAAAAGACAAGATCTCCTGAATAAATTGGGAGCATGGGGGATCATTGGGGGGGGGAGGTGGAGAAAATATATAGCTCAATAAAAAAAATTAAAAATTAAGTATCTCTAGAAAATATAGTGTCTGTGTAAGTTAGCCTTCCATCACTGAGAAAACACCTCAGATAAACAGACCTATAAAGAGGAAAGGTGTGTAGGAGATAGTTCAGTTGTAAATGGACTTGAGTTCAATCTCTGGGAGCCCTATACAAGGGCTGGGTACAGTGATTCCTACATGTAAAGCCCCTTAGGGTGTGGGGTCAGGAGGATTACTGTGCTTTACTGGCTTGTCAGCTTAGCCTCTTCAGGGAGCTCCTTTGGAAAGAGGCCCTGTCTCCAAAAACAAGGT